AGTAGTACACTTCTAATTCTTCGTGATATTTCCTTCCTTTTTGAATTGTCAGTCGTTGTGTCGCTTTTAATATTATAAACGCTCATAATAACCGTACGATCGCGGGTATAACCGAATGATTACACACCAAACTGTTGCGAATGTAAGGTGGGAGAAACTAATAGTAGGTATGAATACAATGTTAAAAACCCAAGTGAGTTACCAGGGCTGTTAAAGTTTGGCCGCCCATCGAATATTGTTTATTGGGGTCCTCTAACCAAATTTGGAAGGGAGGCCGGTGGATGCACCGGTAACTTCCGGTTTTAGGACGCCATAAAGTTCGCAATTTCGCTAATTCGGAAAAACGCTTCTATCTCAGTAACCACTTGTCTGATTTTCATGATCTTGGGCTCATTGGAAAGATACTAAAATAAGACAGAACTTTTATGAGAAGTGCAAATCGCGTTCTGCGAACGGTTTTCGCGAAATTTGCTAAAATTTGAAAAATTCACAAATTATTCTTTTCAGAGGTAAAACGTTATTAATACTTATTTGTAACTTACGCAAAACATTATTATAACCTGCTTCTTTCTCTTTTAAACCAATTCCCATTCACGTTTGGGATTTAAAAACATTACCAACATCCCTTCTTTCTCAATTTATGGGATGATTCAATACAAAACTTACGTAAAGGAGGTCATATCGATGGGGCTGAAGTAATTGATGTTTCTATAAAGAAAAATATCTTCCATCTGTTCCAAGCACCAAAGCGGAAGAGAACACAACCACAAAAAATTGGAATGTTAAGAGAAACTGCGTCTGTTCTAGGCAAGATGTACGTAGCCACACAGTCAAAGAAAGGATACATCGATGAGTTTTTCGCACATGAAGTGCAAGAATTTATCCCTTCCCTAGTTCTTCTGAAAAAATGTACCCCTAAAGAAGTCAGATATTCTAGATTGCCCACATAAAGAGGTTATTGCTATACAGCCTCCCGATGATGTGACAGATCTTCCTTCTGTGTACGATGCAGTTATTGTAGATGGTGGTGCTCTCATTCACTCTGCTCTGCTTTCTCGGGGTGCTTCAACTTTTGAGGAATACGGTAACAGATGTTTTTTAAAATACATTGACAATGAGCTGAGGAAAGCAAGCAGACTACACATAGTGTGGGACTCATCCTAGGAATATTCTATTAAAGAAGAGACAAGAAACGACCATGGCAGCGGTGTTCGATTAAAGATTGGCCCAAATGTTCGAATTCCGAAGTGTTGGTCTACATGTCTATGCCTTCAAAATTGAGTTGTTTAAGTATTTAAACGAAATAGCGATTTCAAGCTTTCATCTTCCGAATTGTGGTCTATACATCACACATGGCGAATTTGTCAAGTAGGTCGGACCTGGGAAAGAGATGCTGGATACGATTGACCACGAGGAGGCTGATACGAAAATCGTCTTGCATCTGATACCTACATGCATTGACCGAGGGAGAAACTACATAAATTAATGCCTATTTTACCATCGAAACCAGAAATCAGAAATGATTCTTCCGACCAAAAATGCACTACTTCTACACTGCAGACGAGCAATCTAATAGGCAAGCATTTGGGTATTGGCTTTCAAAGCAGAAATTAGCGCGCCAGATCCAGGTGCACTTGAATATGGCTGGCAAAAGAAAGATCGAAGGATTCTTCCCATATGGACAACAAACCCCCAAGCAATCAAATTTTTATTTTTTGAACTAGTCCGAAAAGTACCTACTTTTTGGACAGTTTCCATGGTGATACCGACGACTCTCAAAATCGCCCATTTTTTGTACCAAAAAGTGTGACAAAATAGCGTCTTATTCGGGTGGTTGGAGAAAAAATATTACACTGTTGTGATGCAATAGGGTAAGAGAATAAGGGACCTATGAGATACAATTTACTATTTGGACAGAACTTATACATATACATAAAATAAGGGTGGATGATGTACTATAAAAACGGATTACATCTCGGAAGTATAATGGAAGCAATTTTTATTGGCCGGGATTATTAGGTTTATAAGAGAAAGAAACAAATTCCAAAAATGTGAAGGTGAAACAGGTTATAAAAAATGTTTATTCGTAAGTTATAAGTTTTAATAACGTTTTACCTGTGTCATAAAGAAAAAAAGTAATTCGCGAATTTTTCAAATTTTAGCAAATTTCGCGAAAACCGTTCGCGAAACGCGATTTGCATTTCTCATAAAAGTTCTGTCTTATTTTAATATCTTTCCAATGAGCCCAAGATCATGAAAATCAGACAAGTGGTTACTGAGATAGAAGCATTTTTCCGAATTAGCGAAATTGCGCACTTTATGACGTCATCAAACCGGAAGTTATCGGTGGATACACCGGCCTCCCTTCCAAATTTGATTAGAGGACCCCAATAAACAATATTCGATGGGCGGCCAAACTTTAACAGTCATGGTAACTCACTAGTGCATATTCATACCTACTATAATACTGGATCACGGAAAAATTATGACGAAAACATACTTTTTACCCGATCCTAGAACTATTTTATTATCAACTGTAATGACTCCCCATTTTTTTTAAAGGTAAATAACAGTGTAAACTCCATTATGACTGAATTGTTTTTCCACTTTTATTATTCTAACCCTCTAAAAAATATGTCAAACATTGACTATATTTCTCATTAACGTCATACTTCAAGGGTAGTTTTTGCAAAAACACTTCCGATTTTTAATATTCTAATTCAGACATATTCTACCAAAAGATTTGAAGGTACTCTATTCCAAATTTGAGCTATGTATCTTGAAAAATGCCCTGTCTACAGCGACGGGCATTTGACCATTTTATCGCCGGTTTTCAATGTTTCCGCGACGTAACACATGCTCTTAAATCACTGCAAGTGCAATAACGTTCAAAATGTCCGCCAAAACCATCAGGAGACAGGCGCGGATCCAAGGGGGGGCGATTGGGGCGACCGCCCCCCCTGAGAATTTTCGTATGAAGCAACAAATGCACCAAAATTAAGAAAAATATGAACTAAGAATCGTTCGGACTCGGCGGAAACGGTAAATCTAAAATTCTAAAGAGTAAAGAGCGGTATTTGTTCTCGCCTATCTCATAAGTTGACACTTATTGCGTTAAGTAGGTACCTGCCCTTTACAAATCTGGTTTTCCTTGAAATATTTGCAATCCTGGGCCCAATGACTCAGTTTTGGCCTTGGGACTGTCTTGGCATAATTTAGTACAATACAGACTATTTACATAGAAAAGGAGTAAGGACCAGGAAACGCCATAAGCTTAAGCTCTTTAAATTGACAATGACTAGCCATAAATTCTAATCCTTTGCACATCGCATTTCTGTTTAAAAAAATCCGTTTTAAAACTTCCTGGTAATAATACACATTGTATTTACTTTTATTTAATCGCCCCCGGTGAAAACTTCTTCTGGATCCGCGCCTGTCAGGAGAACGACAATACATTCAACGTTTTGGCTGCAGTAGCGGAAAATCCGAATATAAGTTTAAGAACAATTCTTCCTCAAATCTATTTCTTTTTCTTCGATTAAGTACCCTGGTTCCGGAAAATGATAAACAAATTTGCATTTTCTAAAAAAAGATTACTCCATAGATGTTTTTTCTGGCGTCGGTTATTTGAAACAGAATTAAATATGAAAATCGTTCGACGTCAAACAACGATAACTGAGATGCGATGCGCTTGTAGTTTGTTAAAAGATTCCAAAGCATCACTGATTTATAAAAATGTAATTTTTTATTTTGTCGATTTCTACGGTTTTGAAAAATGGAAAATTATAACTAAAAGTATGAAAAACGTATTTAGACTTTTGTTCTAAAATAATTAGGGGAGCTAGTAATTGAAATCCCTATGCTGCGTCGCGCTAGGCACCACCCGGTATAGAGAAGATTTATAATCGTGTCATAATCCCGTTTCAAGGTATTGAATTTAAAGAGACAAGAATCCCAAGTGATACTAAACGTCAAATTGTAGGCTGATTCATTGGCTGATTCGCAGAAACGTAAAAGCAGTTCAACTGCCCTTACGGACGAGAAATATTTAAAAATGATTTAATTGTGGAATGAAGAAACACCATTCGGATTACACAGAACAACTGTAACTATACTGCGTTCGCACCTCCAGATGCAGTATGGGGTCTTATGGACTAAATCACTAAATGCCTCTCTCACTAATTTGCGTAATTCTCGAGGTAATTCTTCGATAACGCTATCCTTGTTCCTCACCGCAATGATGCCAATTTGACATATGAATGGAGTATGAAGTAATAAAACAACATAATCTCCTGGTATATTTTCATACTAATTTTGATGGAAATTTTCTTACTTCCTTTGGCCATAATAATTATCCACTATACTGTTCTTTTCCTCAGCGTAGGTGTTTGAGAATTGTATAGGTACATCAGTAGTATACTAGTATTGCTTAAGGCATGTGCCGTAATTACATCGTAATATCTAAACTTAAAGAGAAACCAAGACGTGGGCGTCGTCGTCGGAGAGAGTTTCACGGTGAAAACGTCGTGAACGAATGCATACATTTTTTTGTAACACTTTATCCTCAGTTTAAAAATATATACAGGGCATGTTTGTATGGTTGATAAAAGTAAATGATCGTTAAACAATGCACTTGGAAAGGAAACTACACATTATTTACTTTCGTTACGTTTTTTAATAGGAATACTGAAATCTATTTAGGGAAACACGCCATTTATCTTAAATTACCTAGCAAATCACGTTGGGTCACCTGTTACTTGCCGTGACTTATTTTTTTCTTGCTTCCATTGTTCAAGGTATTTTATTCCGACCTGTTACGTGATTAATTAGCGTGTCTGGAAATTTTAGAATAGTCTATGTTATTTACTTTACCTACTATTCTCCACGAATTCGAATTTCCAGCGCTTATTGACTACTAATGAGACGTGTTCAACATTTGGTACAAGTTCAGAATGTCGGAAAATTGCGCAATCAAACAATTTAGATGTCGCATACAATTGCTTCTGTATATAACTTACTTACCGTCAATGGTCGATAGCTGTGGCTGATGTGGACCTGTAAAAGAGGACATCGATTAATTTATGGCTTTCTCCACATCCGATACATACTGCAAAGACCTTAACGTATTAAATAAATCGATACAACAAAAAATATCGAAGGATCCTCAATGTTATACCATCACCTTTTTAACAACCATATATTTTCACCTCCCAAAGACATGTAACAAGTAAAAAGGTTTTCGCCCTAAGGCGAGTAACTTCAGCGCATTTTCCATAAATTGATCAATCCTTCCCCAATGGCCATACCTATGTGATCTATGTTTTTCATTACTAGAGGCAAATATGGTTAAAATTTTAAAGAAATATCTTAATAAATAAGGAAGTTGACACTACTGCGCAGTTGATATTGCGCGTCCTGCGCATGCGCTTATTAATTTGATATTTACAATATGCAATACGTTTGCTTTTACTATAAGCATCTTTGGTTAAAATTTCAAAGAAATATCTCCATAAATAATAAAGTTGGCATTGTGCAGTCTGCGCATGCGCACATCTGATTTTTACTATATGCGATATATTTGCCTTTACTACAAGTATCGGTGATTAAAATTTCAACAAAATATATTAAAAAATAAAAAAGTTAAGATTGCGCAGCCTGCGCATGCGCAGTTCAATCGTCAAGATTTTCCTTGACTCAGGTGCCAGAGCAATACACTGCCGAATGCAAAAAGGACGAACTAAATATCTTGAAAACTGTAGGAGTAGTTAAGGCCTCGGACAGACGGACGGACAGAGAAAGTGGTTGCTATAGCGCACCCAATTTCGTTGGAAAATGCGTTAAAAATGCATCAAATTCGTTCCTTGGGCATCGAGATAATGCTCTTAGTCTCTTTCGCAACGATCTTGGTGCATAAATAACGATTTTGGCATGTTTTGATCAAAATACACGCGGGCAACAAATTGTCTTAGACATTGAGATAATGCTCTTCGTTTTTTCCCAAAGATCTTGGTGACGATTTTGACATGTTTGGATCAAAATCCATGTGGTCCCCAAAAATGCATCAAATTCATGTCTTGGGCATTGAGATAATGCTCTTAGTCTTTTTCCCAACGATCTTGGTGCATGAATAACGATTTTGGCATGTTTTGATCAAAATACATGTGGGCTCACAATAAGAAGACAACATCTTTGAATCACACACACGCGGTAATCAAATGTGCATGTGTACTCTTTTGGCATTAATGCGTTTGAAAGGGTTTCTACAACCCAAAACTCATGTGTAAAGAATAATTTTGCTCTAAAGCTTTTAACCTAGACCACAGAGAAGACTTACATTGTAGCGAAAGTCCGAACTCGATACATAACCTACGGAGTGAAATATGCTGATTTCTATTACATTGAGCCCACAATTTTTCTTGTTTCTGATTCACTGGAAGTCCTATAACTTTTGTTCCTGTTGAGCCAGCTTCCTGAAAATAAATATTGTCCTTCCTTAATGTTCAAAGTACCAGTGAATCAAATTTCAGCACAATCGGTCACTTTTAGAAAGAGTCATCGTGCACATGACGAACAACAATGCAAAACTATAAAGAATCTGAGGCTCCTTAATAATTAATGCAGTGAATCCTTAATCTTAAGATGGCTCAATTTTTTCATAATGTTAGTCTCACTGCTCACAAAGCACCAAAGCTAAGCTATGTATTTAATTGCAAATAAATAATATAAGGAAGATAAAAGAGAAGCGTTAGTGTATAAACTGTGTCTAAGATAAATATGTCTATCGCATGGGGATCTCGGACACCATATAAGATACGACGATGGTTAAATTATGGAAAAGCCGGCCCGTGTGGCGCAGTTCACTTAACGCTGGACTGTGGTGCTAAGGGGTCCCTGGTTCGAATCCGGGTTCGGGAATGGATATTTGTAAATGTATAGTGGGTTGGGTTGGTAGAACAGCCTTGGCTGAAAACCCGCCCACTCAAAAATAAAGGCAAAATAAAAAATAAAAATAAAAAAAAGTTACTATCGTGCTGTAAAGAAAACCATAACATTTCGATCATTTCCGAAGATATGCCACAAAAACCGAAATTTGTCGATTTTGTTTCTATTTTTAAAGTGCAAAAACCATAGGAAAATTGTTAGGTAAACATACGTTACATCTTGTTTCGTTTTCGCGTTGTGGCAGCTTAAAGGTAAAAACCCATCGCTAACCTTATAATGTTTTTACTCTGTATATTGTGAGTTTTCAACTTTTGACATGAATAAAAGTACGGTGGTTTTTTAATGGAACACCAATTATAATTAGAGCAGGAATTAAGCTCGACTCCACTCGAGTTACATGAAATTGTAGACTTTACTTCCAGTAATTTTCTTCCTGTGAAGTCGAAACGAGTAAGTATATGAAAAGGAATTTGCAGAATATGCTAAATTCAATAAATGGCGTTACGAAGAAGAAGTAACGACTATTACTGAAAATCTTTTGTTGACATATTTCGACAAAGAAACCTTCTTCGTAAATCCACGAATACTATTAATAGAAAAAAATTTTCTAAACTGATTACTTTCTTGAAACGTTGTTCGCAAGGCTATGAAGCCAATACAAGAAATCAAGAGTACAAATAGATGACATTGACCGCTTTGTAAATTATATTTTTCTTAATCTGTAATTATTATTTATTATACAAGACAAGAGATAAAGGGATGTTTTAACCATCGACTTAATTGACTATCACGAGATAGTTAATTTCCCCCTGTTGTAGTGTATAATACAAATCTTTCATTTATTATTTTATGTCAGAGGCACCTTGTGAAAATTCTGAGTTTAATTTAGGCATCAAAAATAGCAAACTTAGGTTTTCCCGTCGCTCCCATGGAAACTTGCTTTGTATTCTGAACTTCATTTTACTTCGTGTTCTGCGTCCCATTTTTACTAAGAATGACAGATATCATTAGAATGCGCAATCATTTGTTTCAATTTAACTGCCCTTGCTATTAAAGTGATCACTTTATCTATTATTAATGTTAAAGAGCGACTTTGAGTGAGTAAGCTCACTCAAACCTATTAAATTATCAATTTAACATCTCTTATAAAATAATAGTAAGTTACTATTTATATTATGCAAAAAATGAGTTACTGGAATGTTAACTTAGGGCAGGTCTTTTATATTCCAATTAAGTTTTGCGAATAGATATGGCTGCGTTTTTAAGCAACCAGAAATAGCAATTGCTTGGCTAAATTAGCGCACACGGAAACACGTACCCTTTAGCCCACCGTGCGCCGTGACTTGAACCGTCGGCGCCGTACGGAGAGACAGCCGCCAGGCTAACCAACCAGCTCCCTTCTTCCTCATTTTTTCTATTCAAGGTAAACCACTACCACACTCCACCAAACTCCTACTTCCGCCAAATGCATCAACAAAACAAAACGCGACGCGAATCCCCACTTATGCCGAATTTAATGTGTAAAAGAATCGTACACTTGTCTTTCGTTATCTATTCTAACGGCGACAAAGAACACGTGCATTAATAATTAGGTCCGATAACGTTTCTTATCCCAAACCGTACATTCTAATGCACAATTTTTACATCTTATAATTTAGATAAATAAACTTACACAAAGAATAAACAAAAAATTAAGGAATCTAAAGCAAAGTTAAAAAAGGACAAATACACACTAAAATAACAAATTCCGATAAAATAAACCAATTCGGTGCTTATTTATAATGAAATCTTCCAGATTTAATCTAAAACATTCGCACACATACAGGATAACCCGTACCCATCTAGTAGACTCGTCAATAATATCTCTTATCAAGCAGTCAAAGTTGCCCATTATTGTCTGGTGCAAAGTGTACTACAGAGTGTAGTTATTGCCTGGAGACATGGCTCGTGGTCTAAGATCTTTAAAGTGCAACGTAAGGCAATTGGCGTCATGCACGGTCTGGGTTTTAGAGAAGACTGTCAAAACGCATTTACCGCATTAAACGGATAGTCTAAAGCCGGGAATACATCTGACAAACGTTGCCGTTCGTTCGCGTTCGTTTGCGTTATTACCTGTTTTCACCATTCTCTGGCAACGTTTGTGGTAACAGTCATGAGCGACAGACACGTGCCGAGCCAGTGCATACGCTAGCGTTCCACACATTCGCGCGCATTTGTGCAATTTTGTAAAAATTTATTTTTTGTTATTGAAATGTGTCATTCAAATCTGATACTAAGTTCATACCATCGTATGTACCTCTACTTCTATATAACTCGTGCATCCATACACTTCTCTGTTTTTTTTTCTTTTTTTCTTTTTGTCGTTTTAAAATTGTACTTATAACAATGTATGAAGTACTCGCTATAATTAACTGATTATCGGTCATTGTTGAATTAAATTTCCCCGTAACAGTTAAATCGACCTTTTCGTACTAAAACGTAAGCAGATTGCACCTAAACGCTTTAAAACGCGTCTACATAGCAACGTTTGCTGTCACTTGTGGCTTGCCATTTCTTTTTGATCTTTTAATTTTTACCGACATCCGATGGAAAACATTCATTCGCACTGCTAGTGATTTGTACCATATTGAAATCGCTGCGAATGGCGGTCCACACATGGCGAACGCAAGACATAAATGTTTGGCAACGCGAACGAATGACAACGTTTGTCAGATGTATTCCCGGCTTTAGAGCCAGCGACACACAACCCTACGTCATGGCGGAATTCAACAAAAATATTATTAATAAGTAGGTTTGAAAGAGGAAAAAACAAAACCGCCATGTCTGCCAGGCATATCCTGTGCTTATTGTTGCTAATTAATTAATTAAGTGTACATAAAAAGTAGGTTACTTACGTCATGACGGAATTGGAAAAAAAATATATGGGATTATTGCTGGCAACGAGCACATCACGTAAACATATGTGTGCCAGCCGATTCCCCGTGCTGAATACATGTCTGCCGGGCGCGAAAGGGGTATAAAAAACAGTCGCGCTTACGTCATCACGGAATTTAGCGAATTTTTTTTTAAAAAGTAGATAATGTCTGCCCTGACAATACTACATATGTCTGCCG